ACCCAGCCAAAGAAAGAGAAACCAAAGAAACAGAACCTGTAGGGATGAATAGGGATATCACTCTACAGTGCCCCTTTGCTTCTCTTTGCCCTTTTCTGGACAGAAGCAGATAGAATTCATTCCTCTTCCATTCTGAAAATTTTTACGCATTCACTCACCCACTCATTTTTCCATCCATTCATTGATTCACTGTTCATCTGTCAGGAACAGCGTTACAGACACCGTGCTGGGTTCTCTGGATAAAAAGACAAGCTCTGGCACTGATTCGCCCAGTTTACCCTGTCATTAAAGGGATGGTAACTGAAAGAGTCATCTGGCCAGGGTCTTAAGAGAGTTGTAAACAAAGGCTCTGGGAGCCCTGGGGATGCAGAGGAGACCACATTATGCTTTCCTTCCTAGGGACCGTAGCCGTGTGCCTGAATTTGACAAGAGTAGAGTCAGAGGCTGCTGGAGCGGGTGAGGTGAAGGGTAGGTGCCTAGATTGTTTTTCCAGCAGTGATTTGGGGCTGGATTGATCCTTGTCAGTGTGAAGTCAGGGTACTGACCACTCATCCATGCCAATGACTCAGGTACTGTAGAAAAGTGGTTGATTTGCCTGAGCTGAAGGTCTCAGGTATGTTCTTCATTTCCAAGATGAAGCCAGTTAGGATTTGCTGAGAGTCTGCTACCGATGAGGCTAGGCAACCTTTGTGCTTCATCCTGTTTTATAGCATAACTTTGATTTAGGTATAATTTCTTCCACAGGTGACCAAACTGAAGCTGAGGATGACAAGGGTTATGTAACACCCCCAAGATCACACAGCTTGAAAGAGTAATCAGCTTAGAATGCAAATCCCAACACATTGTCCCCTTTGAGGGCAAACAATTTTTAGTAAAACTTCCAATATACACTAAATAACTAATACCATATTAAAATACAATGCTTGTATTTCTTTTTTTTTTTTTTTTTGAGACGGAGTCTTGCTCTGTATCCCGGGCTGGACTGCAGTGGCCGGATCTCAGCTCACTGCAAGCTCCGCCTCCCGGGTTTACGCCATTCTCCTGCCTCAGCCTCCCGAGTAGCGGGGACTACAGGCGCCCGCCACCTCGCCCGGCTAGTTTTTTTGTGTGTGTGTTTTTAGTAGAGACGGGGTTTCACTGTGTTAGCCAGGATGGTCTCGATCTCCTGACCTCGTGATCCGCCCGTCTCGGCCTCCCAAAGTGCTGGGATTACAGGCTTGAGCCACCGCGCCCGGCCAATGCTTGTATTTCTGACCATGACTGTGTTTCAGTTTGACAGAGAGGGCAGCATCTGCAAGAAGGTTCTGCCAAGATGAAGCCTGTGTATCCCTAATCCACATCACTCAGGGCCACTGTCTGTGGCCACACAGGTTGTGAATGTGGCCTCCTAGAGTTAGTTGTAACCTGTACAACCTGAAGTAACTGTCACGGGCCCAATCTTGGAGTCGCATCACTTGCATGCTGTGCCTCCACTCATATGAATTACTACATCCAAGTCATTCTCTTACTTTAAAAGGTTGGATATATTTAAAGGGAATGAATGGGGGTAAAGTCGTAAACTGCATAATTATCTCAGTATATGTTAAATACTATCACCTAGCTGTTAAAGATTTCTACTTCAAGTATAGTGATATAAATCAGGCTTCTTACTGTTGTGCTTTGTCAAATGTTTACATACCTACCCACATCTAAAGGTATAGAAGAATTTCCCAAGCAACCCACTAATCACTGGGGAATGATTTCAGGGAGGAAAGAAGGAAAGTATCCTTTTGTTCTGTTAGGTATGTGGGACACTAGATGGCAGAGATGGTTAGAGACCCTTATGAAGATGTTTGCTGGGAGGGGGCCTGCCCCATTGTCCAAATCATGAACATTCTTGTCCCCAGTTCCTTTCTCCAGATCCTCATCTCCCACTGTACTGTCGCTCTAAGCTCCACCAGCCCCTTGTCTATGGCCATACAGACCTGGATCACCTGTCTTCTGTATCTAAACCCCTCAGTGGCTTCCTAGGTTCACAGAATAACATTTAGACTCCCTAGGATGGCATAAGAACTATTCTCCCCCACTCTCAGCGCCCTGACCCCTGGTCCCTAGGCCATTTCTGTAGTTTCTCCTACTTTCTACACCATAGCAAGAACTCTTGCAGTTCCCACAACAGAATGGCTGCTTCCTGCTGCTGGGCCTTTGGTCATGCCCGTCACTCTGTCCTAGATTGTGTTCTTCCCCTAATTCTGACTGCTGCATGCCCAGGAATGAGGAGTCCTGCTGTAGTTGGCATGCTGGAATGTGTTCATCAGTCTTCTCTCACACCACCTGTGAGGTGGCTTCATGGCGCATACCTGTGTAGGCCTGTTCCGGGAAACAGGAATACAGCCTTAGTGGTTTTGTATATTTGACTCTCCAACACCAGATCTGGTGCCCACTGGCTAGCTATAGATGACTGTTGAGGAAATTAGTCAATGAATGACTCTCTGGGAATGTCTTTGTTTGATTTCTAGAAGAAAAAGATTAAGCATAACACTGTGCACACTACAAGGTAGGTTTTAGCTTTTTTGAAATTCATGAGGGAAACAAAAACAAAGCCTCTAATTGTCTTGTGATTCTGGATGATGATAAACTGAATTTCCCAGGAGTGTTCTAAATATCCATGCAAGAAAAGACTGGGGTTTAATGAGTCCCAGCTTCCTGTAGGTACAGATGACATGTCAGGCTAATTTCGGTCCCTTGGGGATTATGAGGGCCTGGACCTTCCCATGAGCTTGGTTCAGGGCCTTCCCAGCAGGTCAGAGCTCATGACATGAAACAAATCAGAGTTGATGCATGAGCCTTTGAGGCTGGTATAAAGAAGATCCAGTCTTGAGAGCAGACTTTGGCATTAGATATTGACTGCAGTCTCTTCCTAGTAGGTACAGGCTTTGTAGGAGTTCCTGAAAGGGGAACAGGGACTATAGCCTTATCTTGAAAATCAAAACAAACAACCCAAAACACATCAAGCTAACATTTCTAGAGCACTTAATATGTGCCAATCACTCTGCCAAGTATTTCTGAGAGAAGTCATTTGTTCTTAAGTCTTATGTTTCCTTAGCATGATGTGTATACCCTGAGGCCTACACATGGTTTTATAGGATGCCAGGAATATGTGTGGAAGGAGAATAGGGGGAGGGAGAAAATGAAATAAAGATGGAGTCTACAACTCATGCTCATATTCTTAGGAAAGGACTGCAACCCAGCTGTTATCAGTATGAGCTGGTAATTGAACTTGAGTCTTAATTTTTAATTTAAAAATAAGATGAACTGTCATATGTGTTAGTTTTTCTAGTCTAAAACTATTACTACAGCTCTCCTACAGGTCTTAAAAATTACTTGGGTGTATTTAGGGATTGAGCAAATGAGTAAACGGGTTTATATTGTAGAAGCCAACATTTTCACTGAAAAAGGATGAAGATACAAATACGGAATAGAGGGGGGCAAGAAAGAACCTGCAGGGATGAATAGGGATATCACTCTGAACTGGTGATTCCCAATATATGTGTGTTTGTGGCAAATTGATATATGCATGTGTGTATTTATGCACATAAATGTGCACATGTTAAATGCATGTATTTCATTGTTCCATCTGCTGGAACAACTGAGAATCAAAGATACTCCTGTAATAAGAGCATACCTAAGCACTTGTATCTGAGTTTCTAATGTCACTGCCTCTCTGAACTGAACTATACTCCTGGAATGGCTAATTTCAGGACTGGTGCAAGATGATCCTGAAACATCTTATCAGACAAGATAGTAAGGAACTGCCGGTTAAAAAAAAAAAAAAAAAAGAAAGAAAGATCGTAAGAACCAGAAGGGGGCTCTTATTGGTCAAATCTGGGACAGTTTGAACACCAAAATAATAAAGTAAAGTATGAACTATAAACAACTGGGGAGGAGGAATTCATCAGCCCATAATGACAATGGATGAATAAAGACAGATGGACAGATGGATTGATGGATGGATGGATGGGTGCAGGGAAATATGGGCGACTCCTGCTTACCAAATGTCAACTAAGTAATAAATGTGGATGGGGTGGTAGAGCAGGAAAAATCAGTATACACCACCATTGCAGTAAAGATTATGCACAAAACTCAATGGACACTAATTCCAAACAGTTTAAGAGGAACAGGACATTTACATAGTGACGAAAGTGTCTTTCACAGATTGCTTTAGTATATTAGAAAAATAGTAATTAAGTGGAGAAATTGAACTATACTTTGATCAGGATCAAAATTAACATCACCATTGAGGGGTAAGCAAACATCACGTGCCTTCAGAACAAGACAACATCACCTATTTGGGATTCTGGCCAAAAATGTATAACCTGAATCTAATCATGAGGAAGCTTAAGACACATGCTTTGTTAAAAAGCAGGAGGAGGAAGAATTGTATCCTTCCAAAGTATCACTACCATAAACAAAGACAGAGGAAATGGTCCTGATTAAAGAAGCCTAAAGAGATGCGGCAACTAAACGCAATACTTGAGTCTAGACTGGATTCTGTACTTGGGAGTTTGAGGGTAGGGAAGGTGGATACCATAATGGCCATTATTGGATCATTTGACCAACTGGAGTGTAGATGGAGATGAAAGTATCCTATCAGTGTTCAGTTTCCTGAAGTTGATATATTTGGATATACACATACACGTGTGTTGGATATACACATACACGTGTGTATAATATATATATACACATACATATTCTTTCTCTCTTTATATATGCATACACACACAAAACCAATGGATGAACCTGGGTAAAGAGTGATAGTATAAACAAGTGTTGTTTATACTGTTTGTATTCTTGCAACTTTTTTATAAGTTTGAAATTATTCTTCAATATTAAGTTAAAAAATTTTTTTTAAATCTTGGCCAAATCAATGATTGATTTTCAAATGAATACTTTTTATTTTATGTCCTTTCTTTTCCTGTTCTCTCTCTTATTTATTTTCTTTTTCGCGTGCCTTCTTTTAGAAGCCCAAGGCTTGCGAGAAGGTCATTTCCGTGGGACAGACGGTCATCACGAAGCATCGGAACACCCGGTATTACAGTTGCAGAGTGATGGCTGTGACGTCGCAGACCTTCTACGAGGTCATGTTTGATGATGGCTCCTTCAGCAGAGACACATTTCCTGAGGATATCGTGGTAAGTGGGCTTCCTTGAGTACCTGCTACCCAGAGTCTTTAAAAAAAAACCAAAGTAGCTGAGCCCTTCAGAATTTTTATTTTGGCTTTTTGAGTAGCTCATTCACTTGGTTCATGGCCTTTATCATTCTAAATAATAGCCAGGTGAACTTAGACTGATCTTCCCAGATTCTTTTAATTGAGTGAGAAATGTTATTTGGCCAAGAAATAAGGGAGCAGCCCTCACGACCTAGTCACCTCTTGAAGGCCCACCTGTTCATACTATCACACTGGCAACCCCTGAATTTTGGATGGGACCTGTTCAAACCATAGCAGATACAAATCCACCTATTCTTTTCTGTTACAAGATGTGAACAAATTTGAATTCCTTTATGACTTCTTTTTCTTTACGCTTAACTAGAGAATATGGCTTTGATTAATCTGACTTGACAATGTGTTTAAATCTTTGGATATTCCTCATGGGAGTAACAAAACTCACACAGAAGAAAGGCTGTGGCATTTAATGAGTTTCATTACTGTGGCGGAGACTAGAACTCTGTGTGTGTGTGTATGTGTGTGTGTATGTGCACGTGTGTGTATGTGTGTGTGTGTATGTGCGCGCGTGTGTCTGTGTGTATGTGCGTGTGTGTGTCTGGCTGTCTTGTTGGTCTGTCTCCATCTCCTCCTTCCTCTGTCCCCCACCAAACACCTTGAGGGGGCTCATTCTGAGGAACTAGTGAACGTGTGCCAGGGTAATGACTGACTTTGTTTCAGGCTTGCTTTTTAGCAGATGTTTTCACAAGAAGAGCACTTTCCACAGAGGGTTTTTTTTGACACTGAAATCAAAAGTCTCACTGTGACTGAGAGGAGAGTGAGTGAGTCTGGTGCTGATCCTGTTATCCCTTCTCCTCTTGGGGTGTGTGTGAGTTTGGGGAGCTGTCCCTTCATAATGTAGTCGTCACTTCTGCCTTGTCCTGGTTCTCTGTTGATGCTTTGCTTTTGTTTGTACGTGGAAAGATATTTTCAGCGACTCTTTAATAGTCATAATTGTATATTATGTGCAGTTGAAAATTAAATGTAACCTTTTGAGATTGCTGAAGACAGTTTCTAGGATTTTGGTCTCCAGGAGTTGAAGAAACATTGCTTCAGTTAGTTTTGTTATACTTACCTCTCTCTATGCTGGTAAGAATGACAAGTGTATAAACAAAAGTGACCTTATTTGAAAGATTTTAAAGCAAATGAATGTAAATTATTTAAAAATCCCAGAAGAGTGAATTGTGTTTCTTACCAGGGTTCTAGCTGGAGCTTACCTTTACTGCATTGCCATTGTTATTCATAAACAGCATCCCTTAGGTGACATACTCTCCTTGTTAGAATTAGAATTAGAATTAGAATTAGTCGTCCCTTCAAGCACTCAATCTACATTCACTGAATACTTGCTATGTGTCACATACTTATCACACTAGGTGCTGGGAAACATAGAGAGAAGATGTAATCCTTGCACAGTCTTGGTGGGAGGTAGGCTGGTAAATGGATGCTTTCTCCACCATGGACCCGTGTCTAGAACCTGTGTGGTTCTATACTTGAACTACAAGCAATCTACCACCTGTTGGGGCTGGAAGAATGAGTAACACTTACTGACATTTACCATGTTCCAGGCACTGCTCCAAGAACTAGACCCATGAACTCAGTTCATCCTCGTAACCCTACACACTAGGGATTATAATTTTTTCACATTTTGCTGTTGAGGAAACTGAGGCACAACATGTTGAATAATTGTCCCAAGGTCACACATAACTAAGAAGTTTCAGAAACACTATTTGATTACGTGTATTCCGTCTCTAGAAATTCCACTCTTAATCCTGGGGAAGAAAGGACATTTAAAGCAGTAGGAGAAGGGGTGTGTGGGAGCAAGAAAGGCTTGAAAAGCCATTGGTAGAATGAGGCCCCTGGACTTTCACCAGCCCTGTGCAGGCTACATAATTATTTCAGAATTAGCCTTCTTTTGTGAAGACTGTGAATACTGAGCTGGCAAAGGACAGAAGACCTTTTGGTGAGGAGCACTGTGGCAGTGGGATGAAAGACTTCTGAGCACTAATTTCAAAACCTGAGCACAGTTAAACAGGTAAAACCAGTGAGGTCTTTAGCCATGATAGGAATTAATGAACCCTAGATTCTCTTTTACATCACAAGCCTATACACACTACACCAGTTTGAGGCTTTCCTGGAATGTCTTTACATTGGAAAAGAATGTCTGTGATCCTGTAATGTTTGAAATCCTGCAAGTATTTCCTTTGACACCCTCCATTTCCTCCCTCTGTGAACCAGAACAAATAGGATTTTAAGTACACTTGAGTGTTGTGAGAATAACACAGAAGCTAACCCATAGAAGAGTTTTCTGGAGCGCATGCCATTTAAATCAACGAGAATGGAAAAGCAAAACTCTTTACACCTTGGTTAGCTGTCACTTAGCATTTTTGATAAGGATTTGAGACTTAGCAGCAGTTGCCCATGTGGTCACAACTGTTGCCCTGGAGGGTGGCAGTTAGCATGGAGTGGCATGAATTCACATAGATTGGAAAGAACGCGTCTATCTAAATGTGGGTGAATAGTAATGTCTTTTTTTTTTTTTCTTTTTTGTGACAGGGCCTCATTTTGTCACCTAGGCTGGAGTGCAGTGGTATGATCACAGCTCATTGCAGCCTTGAGCTCCTGGGCGCCAGTGATCCTCCCGCCTCAGCCTCTTGAGTAACTGGAACCACGGTCATGTGCCACCATGCCTGGCTATTTTTTTTTTTTTTTTTTTTTTTAAATTTTTTGTAGAGGTGATGTCGAACTGTGTTGCCCAGGCTGGTCTCAAACTCTTGGGCTCAAGCGATCCTCCTGCCTCGGCATCCCAAAGTGCTGGGATTACAGGTGTGAGCCACTGCCACTGGCCTAATAACTTCTTCAGAAAAAAACAAAACAAAACAAAACGAAAACCAAATTCATCTTTGAGCAGGTCTTCTCTATTTTGTCTGACCTTTCCTCCTCCTATGCTCTCCACCGCCATATACTAATCTCTTGCCTTCTTGGTTCCTCGTTCCAGGCTCCTAGTAGGAATAATTCAATTGGACTGTATTTCAAGTTCCATATACTTTCTAACAGTGTCACCATTGTTAGCTGCTGTGGCCTCTTCCCTCTCTTACCTTGGCGATGAATGAGGCTTCCTCAGCTCCCTCTTGCTGACTCTATAGGGGAAGTTTTTTTTCCACTTATAATATTGTATTAGGCAGGGTTCTCCAGAGAACCAGAACCAATAGGAGATACACTTATAGAAAGAGATGATAAGGAATTGGCTCTGTGATTATGGAGGCTGAGAGGTCCCAAGATCTGTAATCAGCAGACCCAAGACTCAGGAAGAGCTGATGTTGAATTGGAGTCCAAAGGCAGGAGAAAGATTGCTGCTCAAGCTTGAAAGCAGTCAAGCAAGAAGAATTCCCTCTCCCTTGGGGAAGGGCCAGTTTTTTCGTTCTATTCATGCATTCAAACTGATTGCATGAGGCCCATGCACATTAGAGAGGGCAGCCTGCCTTACTAGGTCTATGATTTTAAATGTTAAACTCATGTAGAAACACCCAGGGTAAAGTTGGATTAGATATCTGACCACTCTGTGTCCCAGTCAAGCTGACATAAAATTAGCCAACATAAATATATTGTCCTGGGATGCTAGGTTTGTGGATTGTAGAAGACTCTTTAGCTTGTGGAGACAGAAGCTGGGACTCTGTGGCAGAATGCATTTTCCTTTCCTTTCGAGCAGCCATGTGGGTCAGTCAGTGTGTAGGTCCCTATAGGTCCACTCTCTTTGCAACAGTTTGTCCTGGTCATCATCCAGGTATCTGAAATGCAAAGCCATGGGTTTAAAAGGTAAGCTTTAAAGCCTGGGCAACATGGTGAAACTCTGTTTCTACAAAAAAATAATTAAAAAATTGTTAGGCATGGTGGCACATGCCTTTAGTCCCAGCTATTTGGGAGGCTGCAGCGGGAGGATCTCTTGAGTGCAGGAGTTTGAGGCTGCAGTAAGCTATGATCACGCCACTGCACTCCAACCTGAGTGACATAGTGAGACCCCTTCTCAGATACATAGATAGATAGATAGATAGATAGATAGATAGATAGATAGATAGATGGATAGTAAGTTTTTAAAATTTCAAGTATTAATAAAGATTGGGAGCCTGTTTCTCACTGAAATTAATGAAAGCTACATAACTAAATGCCTTTATAGTATGCCAGCTAGACTTCAATTTCAGATATAGAAGTTTGATGTTATATTTTAAGATAAAATGTATATGTATAATTAAGTATAGTTTCATATATGCTTTATTCCTTATATGATATAATTATGTTTATACCATACACATGTATTCATTTATTTTTGAGATGGGGTCTTGATGGCTGATCATGGCTCACTGCACCCTTGGCCTCCTGGGCTCAAATGATCCTCCTGCCTTAGCCTCCCAAGTAGCTGGGACTACAGGCATGTACCACCATATGCAGCTAATGTTTTTATTTTTATTTTTGTAGAGATGGGGTCTCACCATGTTGCCCAGGCGGGCTCAACTTATCCTTCTGCCTCAGCCTCCCAAAGTGCTGGGATTACAGGTGTGAGTCATGGTGCCCAGCCCCACACACCATTATTTAAGCCATGGGGCTTAATTGCTAAGATCATCCCACTTCCACTTTTGATAATTCATCTGCATCAGAACTGTTGTCTGGGAGATGGGGACTCTGCTCAGTACCGTAATGGAAAGTTACGTCAGGACATAAAAAACAATGTAATCAGGTTTGTTTCTGTCTCAGTATCTTGAAGATCATGGCAGAATAATTATATGGTGAAAACACTAACTACATTTCACATTCCTCAGAGAAATCTTGTTTTCATTAGGTGATATACCTGTAGCATGAGCAACTGGCGGTAGAAAGTGATGTTTTTCTTCTGTGTGTCCAAAAACTCTCTAATCCACACAATGTGCGTATCAGGTG